GCCGGCGGAGTTGTGCCCGAAGATAAACAAAAATACATCATCGAGCACGCCAACAAGCATATCATCAGAAATAAAACACAAAGAAAAGCACAGCAGCGCAAATGCCTCGTCATGGAAGCCGTTGAGTCGGCAAGTGCGCCGCGCGTGCGCAGTGGAAAGCCTGATGTCGCCACCGGATGACAGCTAAAGAGAAAGAAAGGCATGCACCTATACACACCGAATCTAATACCGGCAGAAATAACCTCGTTGCGTGTAGAAACATCACTCAAAAACGTTTCACCCGCGGGAATATAATGCTTTCGCATTCCTACAGGTAAGCAGTCTTAGTGCCTTCGGCGAATATTGTTGCGCTGTTTTCTCTCATATATTTCTCTACAGTATAAACATCTGGCCCCTATGTTTCACATGTATAAATAACTTTAAAAAAAAGTGGTTTGTAAGAAAGGGGGGGGGGGGGGGGGGGGGCGGCGTTTCCCTCAGAGGAAAGATATTGCAAACCATCGACCGCACTCTGAGGATCCCAGGAACCTGCTACAAACATCCTAGCAAGTATTGACCACCTTCGTATTTTTTTTATGTGTTCCTGTGAAAAAGAATATTTGGCAAAGACACTTAAGACTGCTTACGTATCGGAATGCGAAAGCATTCCTATAGACCAGTGTCCGGAAGTGCTCTTTTTAGCCTCGACCGCAGGGAGCAAAAGCGAACAATAATCTCGAACCCAGATGCTCACGGGGAGAGGGGGGGTGGGGGGGGGGGGGGGGGGGGTCTGCGTCGGCATGCGCCGCCGCTTCCCGTTGAGGACTTCTTCGCTGGTGTGCCGACTGCCTTTTCGCCAGCATTGGTCCTGTTTACCGTGGTTTGTGAGTATAGCGCCTGTAATATGAGAGCCGTTTGTCCATACGCCACTTTGCCGCTGTTGGTTTTCATCTAGCCGAGCCAGAAAAAATCTCGCGACGAGTTGACCGCGCCGTAAGTGACGAAGAAGAAGCGAACATGGCGACGGTTTGTGGCTCCGGTGTTGAGTATCTTCAACGTCCACGTGAGAAGATTCCCCTGCCCTTTGAAGTTATTGCAAGCACCACGAGTGGCACGAAAGATGTGGAATCATCGCATCAACTACAAATAAGCAGGCCTCCACGAGCAACAACGATGCCGAGCTGGCGCTCGGCACAGTTCTGTCGTCAGATGTTCTACAACGCCGAGGTATTTTCGTTTTTCATTGGGAATAGCTTCAAGAGTAGGAAATTAATCGATTTCGCGGATTGTTAACGCCGAGGCGAGTGCCCTCTGTCCCAGTGCCGTTATCACGCAAAGTGCAGAGAAAACCGGGTGGCGATGGCGGGGGTGCTCTTTGATCGCTTTGATCTTGCGCCGTCGGGTTCATGGAGTCCGGAGTAAACATACGTACGTGCGTCTGCTGGATCAGTGTTTCGGACTGCCTCAACACTCTTTCTCACGCGCATTTTCCTTGTGAAGCTTAGTAGCTCATTACACCTCGTCGTCGACTGCGCTCATTTGACTACGACGGACGAGCCTGCGTGATGTGAATTTCACTGCCTAAGATCCTTGGTGTGCTGTAACGAGGGCTAATAAGATATCACCGCGAACTTCTGAACGAACGAGTCAAAGTTTCGTCTGTTGTCATAACTGATCGCCTGTCACAATATTAATCAGTAGCGTTCCTAGACTCCGCCCCCATAGGCACCCTGCGTCGTTGCCCGATAGTGTCTCCTGGTACATCGTAGAATTCCAGCTCCCACTTCAAGTAAGTACCTTCCTTTAGAACTGGCAATTAATAGTTCCGAACCCAGACGCTCGCAGCGTGTGTGTGTTTGTGAGTGTATGTGGGGAGGGGGGGGGGGGCGCGTGCTAACATACTCGGAGCCCTCGTTTGCGGCGCTTCGCGGCGGCAGACAAGGCGCCACATTACAAAAGAAAGCTAATCCGAGCTGTCTATGTAACTAGACCCATTCGCTAGTCATTCGATGTAACGTCGTGGTCTCGTTTTCATTTCTCTAAAACGGCGTTCAATCAAGTGAACGCCGCCCACTTATTTCGGCTCGGCAGAGCCGCGCCGCCGCAGAAAGGCAAGCAGATCGCGAAAATCGGTCTCAAACGTGCCACGAATGTAATGTCGTATACAAGAAGCCAACAATCAAGCATTTGAAAGCTACAAGAAAGCGGTAGCGAAATATTTACTACGCAATGAACCAGCAGACACCGAGAAACATATTAAGTGAAGAAAGTTTTTTTCTTGTTTTCTTGATCGAGATGGGTTCTCCAATGTTCACGACATCTGTTGAAGAACGGGCCGCGGAGGCTTCTGGTGAAGACATCTTTCACGATGTGCCGGTGTATTCAGACGGCCTGCCGCATTCAGCTCCCCAAAACAACGCCACCAACGCAGCCCCCCCCCCCTCTCCTCGCCCCCCCCCCCCCCTTTTTCCTGCCTGCCAGTTCTCTCCGCGTGGTGGCGCGAGCGTAGATAAACATGGCGGCGCCCTGGAATTGGCGCGGACACTGGTCCATACGCCGCGCATTCCTACAAGCAGCGCGCCACATGTGCCTATCGCACACTGCGCTTGGGCGGTGATATCACCGTGCAAGGTTCGCTGCGCAGGCGCGGCGAACTTTGCCGGCTCCACGACAGCTTCCGTGACGAAGCATTGAGTTGCTGTGCTTTTCTTTGTGTTTTATTTCCGAGGTGCGTCCGCGTTGACATTGAGCGGCCGCGCCGGCTTCCGTGTCAAGGCATCTGATATACGTCGCAGCCAATTTAGGTGCCGTTGTTCGAGGTTACAGAAGCCGCCGGCTCCGATCCATGGGAGAGTTGATGTTTTTGCATTAATACACGCTAAATGAAGCTTCCCGATTTTGCATAAATTAATAGCGATAGTAAGCATTCGTAATGTCATATAGTGCTGGGTTTGCTTGATTTCATTAGCTTATGTACAAATTTACGCTCAAAAAAGTATAAACAAATATTTAATTCACCATGTATGTCACGTTAAATGTCTTCGTCAAAACAAACTTTTAGCCATCGCTCGAGCGAACTATGTAGCGGGACTCGGTTTTTGTACCCGATAACCAAAGCTTGGTGGGACAGACGATACATTTCCTTTCATTCGCAGAAACAGTTCCGGTAGAAGAGTAATGTATTCCATAACAAATATATCCCGTGATAAACTCAAAGACCACCGAGATCCTTATAGAAACCGACGTAATGAACACACCATCGAAGGGGGCTCAGCCTCCCAAGATATTCGGGGAGCCCGTTTCATAATCCAGAGAGAAAATAAAAATCCTCAAAATGGCTCACTACGACCTCGAATTGGACGTCATAACTTAACGTTGTTGCGATGTTCTTTATTGTGTGTCCACCTGCTTTGTTATGGAATTGTAATGCGCCTTGTGTACGGTGTCCGTCTTACATTCATACACTTTCGTTGGTGCCGTGTGGTTACGTTCTTTATTGAGGAGGCAATACAAGAATTCAATTAAGAGGAAAAGGTAGTTGTAATTAAGTATAAAACGTATTGAGTTTTAAACAACAACTACCCTTTTAGTGCTTCATGCTTCGGCGGAAAATACAAAATACTGCACATAATAATTAAACTTTAAGACATTCCGTAGTCCTCCCAAGAAAAAAAACAAACGTAAAAGATTAAAGATGCAGAGTCACTCTCGCTTATTTACAGAATAACATCCCAGCGTGCTTCCTTCGCAGCCTAAAACGCATATTCTTGTCGCTTTGGGAAACGAGCGAACCACGCGGCCATATGCAGGTATGCTGAAAAAGGCACCGGCCAGAAGGCCGTTTCTGCAGTGATTTATTTCTATAAGGGACGAGTCGTAACTCCCGTAAGAGCATTACCTTCATGTCTGTATTCAAAAATGAATAAGTCAGGTAAATGTGAACGCGCTCACCCTTGAACATAGCTCGTAAATTCTAGGACTCTCCAAAAGACGCATTGATAAATGTTTGCGCATACCCGATTTATATTTAAGCCGGTGATAAAAACATGTTCCCAATGTTTACGTTTGTGTGTGTGTGTGTTCATCCCTTAATTTATTCTAACAAACTCCTGATCGTCATCTAGGCTACCTTCGGTATATAAACTTAAAAAATGTCTCCAAATCATTGTTAACACAACTGAAAGCTGGAGGAATCTCCAGTCAAATAAGAACTTTTAATTCTCGAGTACGAGCATGAAACTATTCAATACAGCGCTATATTCTGAAATGTTTATTTATATACATTTACTCGTTTATGTAACATCGAACCGCTGCAAGGCGCAATTATTTCAGCAATAATTGTCACACTCGAAATCAGTATATTGGCACTTGCTGAAGCGCACTGCTGGTTTTGTGTGCTACTCACGACACACATCGAGCGGACATTTTGTACAGAGATGGCCAGAAATAATGTATTTCACGCAAAAAAACTCAAGGAATGAGGAACTTGTTAACGAGGAGCTCGTTAAACAAGGAACTTGTTTAACGAGCAAACATTTAGGAGCATGGTTTTCCTACCTATAGCAGGCGTCTGCAAAAGAAGGACGTCTGTGTCACGCAAAAGCCAAGAGCTGGCGGCTGCTGTTGACATACAGCCGAAATAACTTGACAACAGAATATTTATTATTGGACTTGTTCCAGTCCAGTGGAATGTGTTAGTTAAAATAGCAAAACCAAGCAGGTAAGGGCCAAGGTGCAGGCACTGATCTGCGATGATCAGCGTCTACTTCCTGGTTCTACTTGCCTCCAGGGTTTTGAATATATATCGGCAGTTGCGCAAGTAAGACAGTCAAAATCATTTTCTTAATTTTCTATTTCCTTGATGTAAGTTAATTTTTATAAAGATTGAGTCGGAAATTCACATTTTTTATCACTTCTACACATAATCTTAGCGTACGTCATGCGCTGAGAATCTGATTTTCGCGGTCCCTTCAAAGAAGCAACAATTCGTTTGACTTACGTGTTGGAATGTGATAGATTACCTTTAGGGCAGAGATCGAGCGGTCCAAGAAAGAAAGGTCCCTGCCTGAGGACAATCTCGTGGGCGATGATGGCGAACGAGTAGACGTCACCTTTTTGCGTGCCGGCTGAAGGAGCGTCGCAGGCCCGTTGCAGCTCGGGTGCCGTCCACAGCATACCTAAAGTAGAAACAAATTCACAATAAACCATTCGTGCAGACACCCATATCAGCGAGCAAACTAGCAGCTCTATGGTTGCAGTGTCTCCGACATTTCTATCTTCCACAACAAAACACGCTTATACACCTTATAATGCTCTAAGCTGAAGACAACGAATATATTGGTTATTTGTTCTGCTACTATTGAGTATAGAGCGGTACAACGTGCTTAGCCTTAGCAAGCGGTGAGATTGCTAATTTCATATTCGCAAATTAATTATATTAAAAACAGAATTTGAATAAAATCCTTTTTATTTTGCCTAAAAACCATCAAAATAGAGAACGTCAGAGCTGGAAATTGGTTCCATCTGTTACAGGTAATACGACTACATAATAAAAGTTTCTTAGACACCAACTCTGCAGGGTGACATTGTGTCTACAAATGTAACTAAGATTTTTTGAATGTATGAGTGAAAAACTTCTTAGTGAGCGCGTTGGTAATGATGCAGGTTTAGAAAGAGTTATACACCTATATGAGTGAAATATCTCATTGTTTGACAACTTCCGATGAAAGAAATTCCGGTTTGATTCCACATTTTCTTATGTTAGATAATCTAAACCTCTACAAGGGCATCTGGGTGCCTTATACTCAATACTCATTCCAGCTGAAAGTTAAAGTCCTGCATGAGTAACTACAATTGGGTCTTCTTTTGGAGACGCGGTAAATACCTGCTTGCGGCATAAACATTTTAGAGGTGGTTTCTTTGGGGATTTTCGATTATGTCCAGAAAAAAGACAGCAAGAAGCAGACATCTTTTTGGGGTTTATTTGTGTTCTTTGTGTCTCCAGGCCTGCGAGTTTCAAGAGCCCCGAAAAAACCGTCTTACATATTGTATATTGGTGCCCTCTTTGTAGTCTCTATAGATATTATGTACTTCCCCCTCCCCTTAAGAATTTATGTTAGACTGTCTGCTGAGTATAATCCTGTTAAGTGTAGGGAGTTGCAAAATATGAGGGCTTAACATAAGGGGCGTATACATCGTCTTTGCTATTGATTACGAGGTCAAATCTGTGTCTGTCTTTTGATTACGAGATTCTGTCTTTGGTATTAAGGCGGCAGCGGTTTCCATTAATGTCTTCGTAAAACAAAAACGCGAGTTAAATGTTTTGTTTTCGTATTTCTTCTGCCTGCTTTAGTGACAATACGGCGTACATTGTCAAAGAATTGTCAGAGTTTTGACATACATCTCGGGCATAGCGTTCATTGTTCGATCGGCCAAAAGGAAGTCTGATAGCAACCTCATTATAGAGCTATTAACGAGCTCGTGGTCCCCCGAAGGCTTCCTTGATGGCCATGTAAGTGCCAAGGAGCCTAGCAGATACTGGGAAAATTCATTCTTTCAGGTTTCCAGGGGTTATCACCGTCAATTTTAGATAGCTTTCCACAGAACCGTTGGATCGCGGGTGCTATGCAGGGGTTTCTAGCTTTGTCATTCCAGGAGATCTGGCGTGCTATGTAGGTAAGGAGCAATTCAAATTGTTCTCGACCAGTAAGACCGCCGCCTTCATTTTCATTTATTAATGTCAAAATGAAGGCGGCAGCTCTGGCTGACGCAGTGATGTCCGTTATTACGTCGCCACTTGCCACCTCGTCAACGTTTTTATGCAGGTCGCATGGTGTCACTTCTTCTGCGATGGTGGAAAGGGACGACAAAGCTCAGATGTATTTTAGATCCACGCAATGTGCTGGAGATAAATCTTGGTCTGTGGCACAGGGTTCCACTGTACCTTTGCCGACTGACAGTGCATGCACCAGCAAGCCAAGTTTTCGATGACTGGCTTTATGCGGTGTCAGACATTTCGGTTCGTGATGAGCGTTTGTGTTCCCCGAAAACCTGGATGTGACGGGCTGTGGGAGACATTTAAAGTATTCGAAGTATAGGAGCGGGCACAAATGATAAGCTTTTCAGTTGCGACATGGCCAGGGTCAACATTTTTGCCGTGGAAAGCTCATGTCCTTCTGTTGAACATATAATGATGTCTGCAGCACTTTGAGCAACGTGTCGTCGATTTGAACACAAGCAAGTTCTACAGGGTCCAAAAAAAAAAACGAGAGAAAGAAGATTATATAAATGCGACAGAAAGCATCGGGAAGCAGGTACTCCAGGTGTTCTACGTGTCAGATATCAGTCGTGAATCTCGTCATGAGGACAAGGTCACGATTTTCCGGTTGTCTGTAGAGGTCCCCCGTTAACATAGAATTGGTCAGGTGGCGACCTGTCCAGATGGCGAAGTTTCATTCTCAAACAAACTGTCTGAAGAAGCAAACAACTAAGTAGCCAGCCAGCAACTCGACTCCTTCTCACCGCTCTCTTGCGGAATTGCGAGAGTTCCAAATACCTGAAAACATATTATTTTACTTTGTGTAGCAGTCACATCTGTATTATGATTATTACAAAACCGTACCTTCAATGTCACAACAAATAAAATTATGTCAATAGAAGAATAAAAAAGAAAAAAATCCTATTGATCTTGAAGACTGCGAATCTTTCTAATTATTATCTTGGTCGCAATGAATGACGTTATTAACCCCTTGTGTGTGTGTGTGCGATGCGTAGTTTTTTTATAATAACCTTGAATGCACTCCAGTGAATCAGTGTGTATATTAAGCTACTTGACTTACAGTAGAATAATGCCGAACGAATCTTTTTCTTTATTTTCCTGCTTAAATCACAAGTACAAACGAAACTGCAATGCCAACTGAAGGATCGCAGCATTTCTTGCAATCATATCTCGTCGAGGCAGTCGTCCACGGGCTCCCGAGTAAAACGAAGTATTACGATCCTTTCTCTAGGCTGCTCCTCGGGTGAACGCCGTTATTTGTACAAGCCCCTGCTGAGCAATCGACCGACAACAAAAAGGTCGCTTACAGCCTCCCTGAGCAGACAGGGCTTTGTTTGAGCAATCCGATCGCCGAGGACGCAGCATTAGTTTCCTTTGACGGCAGAAAGAGACTAGAAGGAACGGAAAAAGAATTCAGGACCTTCGATTTATCTTACTGCAAACCATCAGAAACGCTTTTTTTTTTTTTTTTTTTTTTTGCTTCAAGAAGAAGGAAGGAATAGTCTGGATCGGGGTCAACCCAGGTTTGATCCGTAGGGCCGAATGCGAATCACATGAACCTCCATTTGCGTACAACCTATACTTTTTTTTAGCGGCATCCCTATAACATCTTGCGTCCATCTTGTGGGCTCCAACAAAAAAGCTATAAAAAGGCGCCCACATCACTTCAACCGTGTACAGTCGCGGCGCCATGCATGCTTCCCCCCGACGTTGTGGGAAAACGGGGAAACAAGGAAGAATACATATAACCGTGTAATGAGGATCAGCAGTTCTCATTAGCGGAGAAGCTTAAACAAATATACGGTCTCCGACAGAGAGGCCAGGCCCTATCCGTCGGCCGTCCCAAGAAAGCGCCCTCACGTGTTGGTCCTCAAGCAACACTGGTGCGGCGCTTGTCAGCTACCTTCCCCGCTCTCGCCATTGAAGAAAAAAAAGGGGCATCCTTCAGATTGGTAAAGCTAAGCAACTGTGTTAATTTTAAAATAAATAATTACAAAGCATATGGAATGTAAATTTTATTTTTCATAGCATAAAAATAATGTACAATGAGAAATCACTTGGTGACAAAATTTGAAAAATTTGGCGAAGACCTTAGCAAACATGCATGACAATATTTAAATACTGAAGGAGCGCACCCACACAGTCCCGGGAAGCTACACCTAAGTTGCGTGAACTTTTTGGCTCAGGCGGTTTATGTGCTATCTTTCTTGCTTTTAGCGCGATGGTAGACAAAGTAAAGCGAGTGAAGACCAAAATCATCTCCTGTGCTTTTTTCGGTGCTTGTCAGCGCGATGGAAATACGGGATAGTGTCCCTTCATTATTGGTCCAGTCGAGGTCCGAGTAGACCAATTCTGTAATGGGGTTTTTGGATGTCCTGCTTACGAAGCTAGGGGAAACTTTTTAGTGCAATGCTCTTGTGCTCGTGGTACTTTCCAAATGACGACTACTTCATACTTGCTAGCTAAGTAATTTTTTATGTGACAGTGTAAAATAATAAAAAATGGACGGAACAGACCTCAGACTACGGTTTACTGGGACAACTTTTGCAGTTTGTGGAAGAAGCTCAAAATTTTTGGAAAACCTGTGTATGCGTTTCGCACTTTTAGAAAGCAAAAGCGTACAATATTTTGAATTTGGTACTTGTATATTAAACATACTTCACGTTTGTATACCATAATGACCGGACTGACTCAGCAGTTAAAGTAGAGCTAATGCCGCGCGTAACGTCCCATAAAAACAATACGCAACAGGTGTAATAAAGGTGTACTTTAGATTACGTATATATGTATATCGCAGTCTATTTGAAATAACCTTTAATGCTATTTTGTGTTTATTAAAGAGAAAAACAGACACAGTGTCAATGCATTGCTTTTTTTCCAAAGGAAGCGAAGAATCAATAGGCTGGCATTCCCTCAGTTTAGTTTTGAGTCGAGTGGGTTGTTGCAGCTTGTGCTTCGTATGTTTGTCGCCGCATTGGTTAATCTTGTTCCTGCTCCCCGCACGGTTGAATAAAGCACACCTTAGCAGTACTTGAAGTAAAGCGAAATAAATGAAAGGTGATGTACTTCAAGTAAAGTAGTAAGTACAGTGGGTACTACGCTCTTGAAGTAAAGGGGTATCAATACAATGCGCTTTCATAGCAAACCACAAGTACTTTTTAGCAGAATCTTATATGATGCCCTTTCGTACAGAAATTTTTTAACTAGTATGCATTTCTTTAGGCTTAATAGGGGGTGCACCAGTTATATCCGGAAGTGGCAACGAATATTGGATAAAGTCAAGTGGCCACAGAGCAGTTATTTTTGCAAATGGTGCCAAATTCCGTAGTATCTCCGTCATCTGAATTTGGCGCCGCTTGCACTGGCTCGTTGCAGTCAAGGGGTCAAGCGTACTAGGAGAGAGCATGACGTCAGGCCTGTAGCTTCCGCAAGCAATATTTTTGTAGAGGAGTATCCTCAAATTAAGAAAAAGAGTGAGTGTGCAGCTGAGCTGGTGATGATTACTAATAATGTGACACCTAATACTCTGGTGCAGAAAAAATTTAAAGACCTTTCAAGTCGAAGGAATAGACTACGGAGGAGAATGTCTAAAATCATTGAGACGCTCTACTCTTGTCTTTTTCTTCGAATTGAAAGTTTCGTTATTTTTTGTGCACCACAGTCTCAGGTGTTACGTTATGATTAATTGTCATATTCTAATACTTGAACCTCTTCGCTTGCGATGTCCGGGCGAGATATAGCGAAAGTTCGAAAAGTTACGGGAAAACGGCCCTAGAGCAAAAGCAGCAATGCGTCGTCTGTTTGCGTTTCTGGTGATAGTAGAATATCCCTCCCCGTATTTCTTCAGAGTTGATAACGCATCATTTTGTGATACAAATTTAACAAGACCAAAATTAGGGGATGTATTTTTGAAGTCGGAAGGTGTACTTTGCTCGGGAAGTACCAGAAAAAATACTTACACTAAGGTACAGGGACTTACTCAGATATTCTACTTCAAATAAACTAATGCTTTCTAAACCTACTTGAAGTAGTATTTTGAGTACAATGTACATAAAGTACTTCCCAACAGTGGCTCACCGGTAAGTTCTTCGATACAGGGAATAAATGGAACTTTTTTTTAATAACCGATTTTGGGAAAATTTGTTTCACTAAACCTACAGTGGCCAGCCAGCGACATGCGTTTACAAAGGAAATGTGTCTGCTTTACGATGCGTGGTGCGCGATCTTGCAGCGCAAGAAATCCGCTAAAACATCATGACCACTTTGCGTCCAAGGACTGTACTGTTTCTAAAAATGCAGCGGTAGTTTTACCGTGTGTTTATATTTTTCAAATTTGTCAGCCCAGCAAGCATATCTTCTGGTGATCCTTTAAGAGTTTCGGACTTGCGAGTTATATTTTTAAGTTGATACGGCTAGCGGCCACATGAATCTTTGATGTTTGTAGACAACGTCAAATCATCATACGCTTGCCGGCGTTCTACCTCGTACTGCGGTACCTCGTAACTTAATTTCATTTATTATACCCCTAACGCGCCCATCGGACTTTACATAAAAGGAGGATAATAAAACAGAGCAAATTCAAAATTGTAAAAACACACGCATAATAAAAAGAAACGTACATGTTGCTACGTGTTTATGAAAGTTGCAAATGCAGCTCTAAAGCTTAATGATTCCTAAATAATTGCAATGTTATCAGGTAGAAAGATCTATACAGAAATGAATAACTGAAAACATGAAAATATGAAGGTTTTTGCATGGTGTGACCACTTCAATCATTTTGAGCATTGTCAGTACGTGGGGATATGTAGAAGGCAGCCGGACAATACAAATCTCTCCTTGATTGCGGAATGATAATACAAAGTGTATAGTGATGCAAGTCTAGATACGTTTTTCCTCTGCACGAGAAAAGAAATATCAAGTTCGTTCTTCAGTTTTGTAATGCTTGTGTGTGTGTGTAGGTTTTTAAAATGAAGCTATTGGCTTCAATTTAGACACATTCTAATATCCTTTCGCCACGGGTAAAATAACTTTATTCCACAATAGACTTATTGAAAATTGCACACAAAGTTCAATAATAAATAATACTGTACAAAACACAATTATAGCCGATGTAGTCAATAACAAATAATGCCGGGTTTTCTACGAAGGCCGGTATTGAAATACGGGCATCAGACGATTAGCGAACGGCATTGCGTCAGATGTTGAAATTTTCCTTCAACCCCGCATATCTACGCTGTTTGTCAGAACAACTAGGCTGCTTATATCTGCTCGCTCATAGTTTTTTTTTTAATTTCGGGGGCATCTAGATCGTTCATGTGATTTGTGGGACTCAGCCAAGCTTTATGCTGTGATATACGAAAGAAAAATGACATCTCCGCAGCCGTCATAGCTTACTTTCAGTGTCACTGCTCTCGTTTTCGGCCTCAATGCAGACTCCCGAAACCCATTGTGGGGGCAGCAGATGTCATGATTCGGGCCTTCGTTTTTAATCTGAAGGGGAAATGCCTGTAGGGCTCCGCTGGTATTGCGAATGACAGGAGGCTGTCACGGTGAACCCCATGACGCTAAATGAGCACCGATTGTGTTAAAATAGTTTCTGATATACCTTATCATTTGGCCTCAAATTTGTTCGTTATACCTTGTGAGAAAGCGGTATGAAGTCACATCTCTCTAAATAGCAGCATTTTAGAATGTTTAATACTATTATATAGGGTTCTATCCAGCATTCTTCACAGCATAAAGACCCGCTTTTCTTTCCTCTAATGTTGTGAAAAACTAAAATTCTTCCCTCATATGTTATAATTTGTGGGATATAGGAAGGTGTGACTCTGTAACCCTCTAACAGGCCATTTTGTGTACACAACCTAAGTACTTTAGTCTTAGGGATAGAGAATAAAAGTGCTTCTAGACGAAAGTTTAATATTTGTAGTAATTTCGGGAGTTTGTCCAGCGTAGTATAATTACCTGGTCCACACGAAATAAAGAGAAACTAAAAAAGTATTACCAGCTGATCTCTGCATAAAACAAAACAAATTATGATTCCCCACTCAATGTTGTTTATACATATTTTAATTTCCAGGAAAAAGTTAATGCTTTCGTTATTGTGGTCGGCGAACTTAGGAGGATACAGCGGAAGCCAGCTGATTAGAGTCGCACGTAGCTACGGTTGTTTACTTAAGACTATCGGTGGCGCCAAATATACAAATTCCGAATGTGTGCGCAGTTATAAATATATATCTATATATATTACGTGATTTTAACATTTTAGTACACACTCCACCGAAATACATGCAAACACGCAAAAAGGAAAAAAAAAAAAAACGGCGCTAGAGATGTTACGTCAATTGCAATAAAAAATAAGATTGCGCAAACTTTCTCACATCCCAAAGCCAATGCATCGCAAACCACGATGTAAAGAAACGAAAAGAAATATCGGGGAAATGCTTTGATATACGACCGCCTGCAATCAGGAGGCAAGCAGCGAGTCTCGTGCAGCAGCCGCCAGGCGATGCATCTGGGTGTAGATCGGAAGGACTAGCCTCGCCCCATTTCTCGTCCGAAACCGCTGAAGTTTTATGGCTCGTTATGCAAATCCCCATCTTGTTCTAAGTGGAGTGGCGGCGTGGAAATTTCATGGCCGTTTGGATAAGTTTGCATTAACAAGAAGGAGAGAGAAGCAAGTACGAGAAAGGGGAAGGACTCACGTCTCCAGTACGCGTAGGAGTCGTGGTTTTCGTTGTTGTCGCTGGAGCGCAGGCAGTGGAGGCCAAAGTCGGTGATTTTGAGCACGAAGCGACTGTCCACCACGCAGTTGGAAGATTTGAGGTTCCCGTGACTGTGGAGGACACTGCTGTGTAGGTACGCCATTCCCTAAAAAAAATACAATATACGGGAACTTAAAAAAGAGCATTACAGAACATCGCAAGTACCACATAACGCTACCTTAAAGGAACTTAGAATAAACTTTGCCTCCGAATTCTCATGGAGAAACTGAAGTCACCGCGTTCCTCGGAAGAAATGCGTAATTCTCAAGGCCGTTGTTTACAAAAACGAAAAAAAACTACGCCCAATATCCATTGCCCCCATGCAATCTGGGCATTGCTTTTTATGCGGAGCTTTTCTTGCAGTTTTCATTTTGCTACATTCCACAACTAGTTAATGGTCTGCATCTCAGTTCCATCTAGTTAATTGCTTGCATCTCGCAACACACTGCCAATGCATATCTCTTAGTTTGATCAATCATTCCACAGGTGCCCATGACTTGGTAATTAGAGTCGTTTCGCAAACAATAGGTAGAATTATGGGCTACTTGTGCAGAGTAGATGGCCTAAGGCAAAAACCTGTCAGACGGTGCGTTGAGCTCGAACCAGTGCAGCGAGACAGAAGCTAGCTTCACAGTCTAGGTCCAATTGTCGGAGCCATTAAAATGACGGTTATTGGGGCCCTAGCAAAATATAACACAAACAAATGACACATCTTTTTGAACGCCAGCAAACCATTAAACAAACTATTCCGCTGAAACATCAGTATGGCTACTACCGATGTTTTGTTAGGAGACAGAGTCTTGGGGCCCTGAAAAAAGTGTAAATCTTTTAGCGAAGGGTTTGGTGCAACTCTACGGATTCGTGGAGGGCAAATGAAGCCCTTTTTAGCACTTTCAATCGTCATCAATGATGTGCTGTGGGGAGGAAGTACGTATGTATACGCACTGCGTAAAGCTAGGCTTTTCTCGTATACTACGGTTTCATGTGTGCTACGCTAGAGAAAGCTGGACGTGTTCAGTATATGCGTTGCCTGGACGTAGTAATCGCAGAAAAGACTAAAATATTGTAAACTCAAGCTAGAAAAGCAAAAATTTTATTTTGTAATTGACATTGAAATGCTTTTTTATTTTAGAAAATAAGATAAAAACCAAATGAACGAGTGAGCTTTTAAGTTATGAAAATATTATGCGTACCTTTACAATATCGTGCATCAACGAGTAGCGAAACATCCAGTCCAACTTGATTTCATCATTTTCGAGAATATCCTAGAAAAGAAAGCAATTAAGAAAATAATTCATAAATGATCTGACAATGCAAATAAAAGACAGTCATAACAAAACTTATATACACATATACATACATCTAAAGTTTTCAGTAAAAATAACACTTTTTACTTAGTTAACTGCATAGCTTGCATGAAGCACCGATGTTTGTTACACTCTTATTGTATTGCTTAGAGATACTCCACTTGACTAGCATATTTGTGGGAAAGACCAAAAAAACACTGTTTTCACGTCAGTTTTTTTTTAATTTTTATGAAGTACTTTAGATCGTGACTGCCTAAAAAATAAGCAGCTCGCAAGTTGTTACAGCTATCTCCGTAGCTGTTTCTGTCGAGGATCTAGAGAAGGTCAGAACGAGTTACCTCGCAATACTGCTTCAAATAGCGCTTCCTCTAAAAGTTTGTGCTTTACAAATTAATGAATAACAGGAAACCGACATAGAATACATAAAGGATGTATTGTTTTTTGTCCTCTATGTCGCTTTTCTTTTATTCCTCCAGCCTACCAGTACGCTCCAATTCTCCGATTCGTCGAGTCTCCCACTTACACGAAATATTCTGCCTAACGCATGTTTTTTTTCTTTCATCCTAACCTACGTGCATACAGGGTGCCATTTTTCAAATGCTTGACATTGCTGCATTAAATGAAACTCAGCCTCCGTAGGTGAAATCAGAGTAATATTTTATAAACGTCCTAGAATGAAAGGAAAAAAAATCGAGTACAATTAAATTTGGGGTGATGAATTAAAGAAGAAAAGGCTAAAAATATAATATTCATGTGAGCTCAATTAGAACGTCTGAAAATATAAAATAAAATTAGCAAGTTCCTGGAAGGTACATGTTGGAAGGAAATTGTGATGAAATAGCAATGGTGAAAACATAAAGGAAACACAGTGAAATACAACTCTTAAAAAATCATTCTTCTTTAGCTTTCTGAATAGCACAATTTAAGCTTTATTGTGAGCCCCATAAGATTTTTGTCTGGTTTCTAGATAATAAAAAATATCACAGGATGCACTCTTGTTTTTATGAGCCCAATACAACGAAACAACAGTGGAAGTCTAGTTCCCGTCACCATGACAATACCAAGGCTTCGTGGCATTTCGTTTTTCCCGTATGTCTACTTTCTTTATATTTATATTGGCCCTTTAAGCAGGTTTTTTTCTTTGAAAGGTTTCAAAGTTACCTTCTTTTATCAAAGAAACCACCGTGTGACAGGAGATTCTCGAATGTGCAATGAAGATTAACAGGAGTAGAAACGTTGTCTTTAACCTTTCGGTATAAAAGATGGCTTTCTGGAAGCCTCTGAACATAGAATTTTATTTGGCATCTTGTGGAGCCCCTTTGAAGGGGCTCCACCCCAAGAGCTTAATTTTTTTCTCTTTCACTGAATCCAGAACTGCGGGCGCAGTGCCCTCCCTTAAAGCGACACCGATTGAAATAATTTAAACAAGAATTGAATGAATAACAATTGAACGATTAACAATTGAAATCTATGGACGAACACTTGTAGAAAATATCTTCTAATGGGGCATTGCAATTTGTCTCCAAGAAGTATTCACGTTACAAAACAAGCAAAACATATACATAAGAATGCCAAGAGAATAAAGTTGCTAAACAACATTGGCGAACTGTAAATAGAATGAATACAACACAAATGTGGCATGGAATCAATATCAACACGCACGCCTAATCTAATGATCGCTCTCGAATTCCAAAGAATTATAATGATGTCGCTCTTAAACGTATTCTTTATTTTTCTCTTTCATATCAGTTACATTTGATCAAGAGTAGTTATCTAGAAATGTTCCGAGACTGACAAGCCCATGGACGCACTACACAATGTGTGGCCATTGTAGAAAGAAGGCTGAGGTTGCCGAAGTTTACCTTCACCTTATGTCGCACAGGCGCGATCTAAGGCAACGAGTTTAGGCATTATCACTAAATTACCTAATAAAAAATAACAATTTAAAAAAAATCAAATGCATTTATTTAATTGCAATCAGGTTACTTTGACTTAAATCACTGTAGCTAGATTATAGCAATTTGTTAACACTATATACATTTTTTTAACACGGCAAAATATTTAAATAATTTGTCTGATCACTGATCGCAATGCGACAAAAAGGATTACTGTAAATATACAGTTTAATTAAAAGCTATTCACTGCTGTAAGTTTTGTCATACTAGAACAATACAAACTTTTTTTTGGATTGCTGAAACAGCTCTTTTTTCTTTCGAGTTATGAACTGAATAAAAGAACCCATTTACTTTTTTAGTCTTTCCTTTTCTTGCGTTCTGGTTTTATTGCTGTAGGACGTTTCGCAGCTGATGATCTAGTGGAAGGTAGAAATTAAGCTCAATTCTCCAATATGCTAAGAAGAGCACTTCATTTTGCTCCTGTTTTACCTGATAAATACACGTCTTGCTTGATGATTATCTCATTTAAATACAAAGCGAATGCAGATAGGAAGAATCAAATGAGAGGGAAGCGGAAAATAAAACAAACAGCATTATGTTTCCGAATACGTTTTGATTTAAATCATCATAATAAAACTGGCTTTATTTAGATCAATGGTATATAAGGATTTAAATTACGATTTAAATCATATTGATTGGCCTTATCACACTGCATGATTCCAGCTTCATTTAAACTTAAACGAACGATATACTAAAGCCTTTTTACTCACCTGCAAGCTTCCCCTTGGACAATATTCTGTGACGAGACAGCAGTGAGGAGAATCCTCACAAACACCGAGGAAACGCACGATGTGGTCGTGTTGTAGATCTTTCATCTGAATAGAAGCCCCAGAAACATATCCGTCTGACGTAGCATTCATTCGGCCTTCATTTAGCTTCCCTCATCGCAAAGCTAGAAAAAACATCACTTTCACTCTTTGTAATTTTGGATCATTGGAGCACCTTTCGCAGTTGAGCAGAAACGAAATTTATCAGCAGTCAATGATGCGCACTACGCGTATTTTACGTCCTATTTCTCAGGCCAGCTCTCTGAGAAAGTCAAATTTGTAAGGAGTGATTTTTACTGGGTGTAACGAACTTGGGCGTTTGGGGATTACGAGTAATATGATGTAGCTAAGTTAGGGCACGTTCTTCACTTTTCGGGTTCATACTGAATATTCGCTCAGTTTAGAGAACGTTCACACGACGTGGAATGCGAGGCTATCGTAACTCTTGCTGACTCGACAAAATCCTCATATCGAAATCCCCCAGAATATTGGGAGTCAGTTTCACGAACCGAACATAGACTCTTCACCCGACTGCTCGGGCCAGTTCTGTTAACTTAGTTTTTCACTTTTTATTTAAACAAGTATCTGGCATGTTCAGTGACTCACTTGTTTTAGGTGTTGATTTCCCACAAAGCACACTACGGCATGCCGGTGCAAAATTTCTGATTTCATTTGTCATTAGAGAGCTTGACGTTTTCAAAGTTACGGAGACAATAGAACATGGCGACCTTCGCTCGCAACCTTGCCGGAATAGCGAGCATAAGGCGTCCGAATGGTAAGACATTTTTGTCAAGGCCCTGCGTCATAATATTTATGTGCTGAGAGGGCAAAGGAACTTCACATTTATAAAATAAAGGAAAGGGGAAGGGAGGGAGAGATAATGTTGCACTTCTTCAAAGAACCAAATAAGTAAAACGAGTGATACGAGAAGACACACAGACGTGTAGTACTCACGTTTTTCAATTCTACGAGTAAAGACCTTGTGACTTCAAGCTTCATCTTGTTGAACGGCCGGATGGCAACCACCATTCCCTTGAAACGGAAGTGAAATTAGGAGTTGGCACGCCTAGTAAAATTAGCGTTTTAAAATTTACCTTGTAAAGTCCTGTGCCAATGAACATTTGACGACGCCCATCTCCAAAGAACATGGCCTCTGATGAGTTGGAGCTCTGCAAGCAGCATAAATGAGGTTCCATGTAGTTTGGAAAGCCGTCAAGAAATTTTTCAACAGTCGATTGTTTGGAACACCTGTCCGGGTATAAAAGCTACAGAATGGAAGAATTCGTTACAACTATGAAAACCGGGGCATACTTTATGACAATATTTCTTTTATGTTGAATAGATAAATATACCAAGTAAGAAATATTTCGAACTCGGCTCTCGAAAGTCGAGTTATTCAAATTTGCTAATAGATATCGTTTAACATTTGACCTGGTTTAGTTAAGTTAATATGCGCTATAAAAACGGGGGGGGGGGGGGGGGGGGGTAAAATGTGAGTAGTCAGAATCCCTACAAATGATGAAATAACTTTTTTATCGATATCAACTTTCTAGTACATTACAGGTAGAGCGATCACAACACCAGCAAAACACACACGGCGTCTCTGGACAGACGCCAGAGTTCTCTCACCTGTCCCGCATCTAAATTGATTGTGGCCTTCTGTATAAGCTCTCTTCTGCACTCTTTGCACATTTAACATATTGTCTTAAAGTTATAATACTTCGACCATTAGAAACCCTACTTCCTTTATTTTAAGATAGAAAGCATTCACGGGGTTGTCCCAACGACACGTGAAAGTGTAACGGCAAAATTTACGCGCACCGCTTCACCTTTTATTTCAAGAAACCGCGACTTGTTACCTTTGACTTTTGACCGCAAGGTGGGTGTCCTTAAACAAATCTTTATAATACTGCTACTGATTTCCACACAGCAGTGATATGCGTCCGTAGACCAAGATCGGCTTCTACGTACCACAGCTCTTTTGTGTCGACATGACGAAGCTGTTTGTTTCCTCCCGCTCAGACTGCTCGCTTTAGTTCAAAGTAAATTATATTTACTGCGCAGGCCCTGGCGGCTTCAAACGTATAGCGGCAGCACAAAGAGCCACAATGAATGCGCGTACAAGATTTACGGCTAGAGTTTGTTTTCTTATGTTAGTAAAAGAATGCGCACGAACGTCGCTTGCTCAATTGAATAAGCGCTGAAAATTTATATTCTTTTCAAGCTCGTTTTATTTTGCAAAACCATAAGGATTGCCCCACGGCAGCATTCCAGCGAGTGGCGCGCTGTCCAACTCTCTTTCATATTAAACAGAACATCCTTTCGCCCCAAATTCTAAAGCGGGCTCACGACAAGCGGCCATAATGCATTCATAACGGTTAGCACCGACAGGCAGCGTAATTCCGCGAAAGGCAGCAGAAGACAGGGATCAAATGAGAAGACGAAGCCATTATGACCACCTTCAATATAAGTGGGTTATAGAAATATGCCGTGAAAGCATTATGAGGTATAGCTAGTGACAGAGCAAGAGGCGCAAGACGTCGAGACACACGCGCATCGCATTATAACTCGGCAACCAATGAGATTGGGGGAAAAGTCAATAATGGCGCCGAGGAGTGAATAGCAGAGCAAAAACCTTGGAGACGATATGCAACACCCTGCGTTTTACAACCTCAGTGACTATCGCGATTCGTCACTCTAAAAGGCCTTCGCTTTCATGTATCCATATATGACGCATGGATTCAGCTATTTGGATATATCGAAGTTTAAATAATAGGTGTCAACTGTGAGTACATACCTAGAGTCACATGAACTTAAAAAGAGAAAGGACAATGGTAGCTTATAACGTTCAGGCTTCAAGCTTCGTTTTTTGATCTTCAGCGTACTTTTCGATATTGCAGGAATTACATTGAATAAGAAAGTATAATAGAATGCGTCTGACTGGTCGTACTCTGGGTTTTTTAAGCCATCAGTAGAATTTTCTGTTCTCGGAATTTATAGCTTTCGTGGAATTCGGAGGGCATTTTTCGCTGTTTATTTTTCGCTGGAAATTCGGGATTTACTGGAGCTTTCGTTTTGTTAGATTTCAAACTCTCTGAAACTGGGAGCTTGAGTTTATTCTGTTCTTATTTCGTTCAAAATATCAATACCAATTAGAAAAATGTTCGGACAAGAACGTACACTAAATTTGGAAAACAATCACCGGTCTCGAAACACACTTTTGCCGCTGCATTTGGCATTTGCGTCCGTGCAATCGGCAGTACTAACTGTCTCACGACAAACTTTGAAAACAAGTGTTACGTCAATAAACGTCGCAATTTCGAAATACCCGACACGCATAAAACCTTCAGCTGCACTCCTCACCCTATGAAATCTACAGGTTTACATATTTCACTGTAAAAAAAAGGACCCTGTCCCTTGGTTCGAACTGGCAACCCACAACAGCTGCTTTTGTCATGGATTAGAAGTAGATTGGTCCATTGTATTGAACGAAACTTGACGAGATAAACAAAAAAGCTTTTCTTGTCAATAGTAAAAACAAAAATTAATTAGTTTTACTCAGAACTAGTAGCCCTGTGCTCTGACGAAGTTGATTCGTAAAACACCGTCCCCTGTGCTTTTTCATTTGGCAACGTGGCTTCTAACGAAACTTTTAACGGCGTGTATCTTTCGTAGTTTATCGAATTTTTCCAAAAACACGAAACCCTAGCTATTTGTGGCTACAGTGTGTGACATTCCGCTCACGTCATTCTTTGGTTCCGCATATTTTATTATTACGATTTATTTTGAACGCATCGTAACGATTGGTAGGCGTATATAGGCTCCTGAAATCGTGCGTTGACCAGCGAACCCTGTATTGGATATTTCGATCTGTCCGCTGCACGCACAAAAATCAGCCGAAGACAAAGCGCAAGTCACGTGACGGTACCTGACCAATGGTTGCTCGCGGCTCCCTCTCTTTTTCTCTCTTTCTCTCTATCTTTCTCTCTCTTTCTTTCTGTGGGGAGCCCGAGCACGTCAATAGGGTCGGCGCAGTGCTGGGGTCGAAGAGCGCTAATTTGTGTTGACGCATGAGTACTCACGGCGAGGCTGGCTCTCGTCAGGCTCAATCGAGACCCAAAGCCGGGAGCCGAGATGGAGATCTCTTCCCATCTGATTTTCCACGTCATGGAGGCCAGTTCTGCTTCCAGTCTGAAGTGCCTGCAGCAAACACGATTTAATTAGCACGTTGGTCCACGTGGGATTGCGCGCGCAGGAAAGTGGAACGCTTTGCGAAGCCAATTCCACCGCTCCTAGTTCGCGTCGCTTGAATGGATGAACGCCAAAGACAAGTGGAAACGTTCTATTAAAAAGGCGCATACGTAGCTTTATAAGTCTGAGAGGGTAAGCTCTATTTTAGTGGGTGCTTGTCGAGTAATTTCCCGGACCACGATGGTTTTGAAGGGAACTCAAACTTTAACTTGGTGTGTTTTGCGAATAAAGGTCCGTCCCATGAAATTACAAAGCGACTGACTGAGGCTTTCACCAGCTTGTAGTTTTGAACCCCGAGACAAATAAAAATAAAAATAACGGAAGGTACGACCCAGCATCTCAAGCCCAGCAGAGTTAATTCGCAAGGAAACATCACTTTATAGCCGTCCACACTAAGAAAAGAGGGAAAACAAAAATATATGTCACCGCAAAGTTGACGGGACGGAGACAGACTGACAAGCCTGCGCACAGACACCAACCACCGTCATACACCCGCCTCCAAGCTACCAGAAATCAGAATTTCTATCAAGGCTATGTGAACCGAGCACAAAACTGCTCCGCCCCCCCCCCCCCCTTATCTCCAACCCCACCCACTCAAAAAAAAAAAAAAAAACAGAAGGAACTTTTTCACGCGTTCGCTCAAAACTATAGACCGCTGGCTCACAGAATTTTCTTGGTCCCCTATACACAAGGTTTTCTCTAAGATTCTCTTGAAAAATCGCTTTATTTGCAAAGATCGAAGCCTCTTTCCATAACGGCGAGCATGCCTTCCATTCAACAATATGTTTAGGGAGTTCATATAATGGAGCAACATTTTTCACACTTCTTTTGTGTTCCAAGAGTCGGTCAATTACACACCGACCCGTCTGGACCACATAGCAGAGCCCACAATCAAATGGTATTTGTATACACGGAACTTCCTTGATGTAACCAGTTGGAGGATTTCTATACTACTCTTTCTTACGCAGCTCTGTGTTTGCTTAAACTCGAACGGTGTAAGACTACCTAACCGAAAATCCGTCTTAAAAAAGACAATTACTTGGGACTTCTTAGACAAAGCTTCAAGAAGATGCGAAAACCTGTGAAAGTGCGAAATCAAAACAAAATTTCTATTCAGAAATTTATAGGAACCTTTAGGCCTTTCTATTTGTCTACGCAATATTATTTCTTTTTCTTAAATGCAAACTATACCCAGCTAGCCTCAACCGCTACAACAGTCTCACGAGCGCATTACCGACACAATGAATACACTACAGTGTTTATAGTATTGCCTATAAGGAACTTTACGATATATACTATTACGAATTTTGAATGGCACTGTGTCTAAATAAGACCCTGTTCGGTTCCTCTTTTCCATACGACCACACAATCATTGACCGTTAAACAACTGTATATCTAGAAATTGCAACTTCCCCATAGCCGTAGAGTCAGCCGTGAATCTTAAGCACGGTTATACTTCGATAGTATAATCCCGAAGCTTATTTGAGTAGTATTAATTTCGGGTGCACATCAGTATGTCGTCAAAAAATCTGTGAAGAATCAAGCTTCTGCCCCCAAATATTTTACAAAAGATGCCGCTTGCCTGACATATTAAGATAGACTTCAGACAACAGCGGATCCACTGCGGAGCCGATACACACGACTCTCCGCCGAAAGAAACATTTTTAGTATTTCATTTCCCCTTGTCTTGATGTTTACCAGCTTTTCGAGGCTTGAACATAGCTCGCGCAGCCTTCCTCCTATTCCAAAATTAACTGAAACGAACAAATTAGTTTTATATCCATAGTAGCCTGAAGAACGGGTGAAGAATCCCCCCCCCCCCTTCTTTTTGCCTTCCCCGTCTTCCATAATTTAAGTTCCTTCACAACTCAAAGCAATCAACAGGTGTATGCGAGGACGAATCGGTGCATGGTCAAGCTTGGTAGACATATAAAGAGAGCTCCTTGATGAAAATACGGAATACCGCCGGTTATACTCACGGACGTGTTCATCAGCACTCCACGTAGGCTAGCGCATGAGCTCTCACCCCTTTAAGTTTATAGCCATTGAATTTTCTTTTAATATCCTTGCTAATATTTGTACTTATCCGGAACACGGGGAAAATCTTTTACTGCCACAATGAACACGCTCCTAACTGTTGCACATATATCAAGATTTATGGGACTCTAAACTTCTCTATTCTAAACGAATGAAACATTGCGTGCTCAAAATCTGAATCCGTCCACTGAAGGTTTTGTGCTAGATTGGCGCTTTTAGCCAAACTCCTACCATACCGACCTGCAACCGTGTATATAACTTTTGTGTGGTGCAGTTTAAAGACTTCCTAGTTCACTAGACACATTTCTCATGTACAACGGAGCCATGAGACGCCCCTTGAGGCAGAATAATATACCGCTGTCTAAAGATACATAATGAGACTCACTTATTTCCCTCGTGGGAACAAACATTAGGATGCACAAATAGACCTGACAAATTACCCAGGCATTATGGAGAATGCTGGAAACGTAGGTACACGCGCTGTATGCACTCAGCTTCTCTGTATTATATATTCGAAGTAAATAACCAAGATAGGGCTTTGACGAACGCACGGACAAAGTGCCATTTGTTTTAGTTTTTCCTTTTCTTCTTGTTTTAGTGCTGTTATTGCTCCAGACGACAGCGCGAGCAGCGTGCGTGATTGCACACGCGCACGCTCCTTGACGCTTGGGCAATTAAGCGAAGGTACTATCGGTCTGCAAACTTTGCTCGACTTGTGTGTTTGTTTACCCGTAAAAGCTCAAGTAATGACGACGCACGCTAGGCTGTCTTCTCTGCGCAAGTTCACTGCGCGTTCCTTATTTTCCCCGATTGGCGCAGTTCTCATTTTTATTTTGCACCAACAGCTTGTGCTAATTACATTCCAATGCGCAAACGTTGGGTTTTGGTACCCTCACACTGCATGATAATCCAAACATTCTCATGCTAGAAATAATATTCATAAAAAACATATTCCTGCCGAAGAAAGAACCCAAAAAACAACCAAACGGTTTTTCTTTTGTCTTTTGTTGCTGATTAAGTGTTTTTGATCATGTATGAGGTTGACGACATGCCAACGACAAAATGTATCAGTGCCAAAAACAAAACCCGTCCCTCGTCTTTCTGGCACTTAACATTACCAAATATGTTTACAGTAAAATAAATAAGAAAAATATTACAGGAATATCCATTGACGGATTATTCGAGAATGCGTTAGCATGACTCTTAGAAACGCCCTACAGGTCACCCTTTGGGAAACGCTAACTTTGACCCCTTTACTTGTTTCTTTTAGATTTCTCTCTTGCTTCCTCTATTTTTTCCTGCCTTTATTGGCCTCGTTACGGGGTCAGTGTTACCGTTGCCCAAAGGGGAACCACTGGGGCATTTCCCAAGGGTCATGTTAACGGATGCCCCAAGAATCCATCAATGGATCTTCCTGTAATTTGTTTCACTCCTTTTTTTTTTTGTACTCTGCCTGTCAGAGTACGTCGACGAACGCCCTCGGATTCGGTATTTCATATTAATCGTGAAAGGAACCGTATCGATATCACTCGCGGAGTGAACCATATTCATATTTTAAACTACACATAGACACACATCACAGCCCACGCCGCTACTACGAAAACCCGAAGCGAAGAACAACCGGTGACAGCAGAGCCGCAACTGGTCCCGCCAGCATTCCACCACACCGCTGCGCAACAACTCCTAGACAACAAAGACTTAGTGCTGAGTGAGATGGCTTCGTCAGACGAGGCCAACGCTAGGCACAGATTTGCAGATTTGACACGACGATTGCGTCAACGTTCCGCTCAAACTTGACTCGAAGCCGAGCGCTGACGCAGCACTCGTTTCCAATCTGTGATCAGCGGTGGCCTTCTCAGATTAAGCAATCTCCGATCTCGTTCAGAATTCCGGCTTTGTTAACAAGGTGTTGCGCGACGCTTCCTCTTCTCTGGCTCCGCGCCAGCTGTGCGCGTGACTTTGCCAAAAACAAAAGGGCTCGTGTTGACGCAAACCCGGCGGTGTGTGTAAGTTTGTCAGCGTGCTCATATTAGAGTTTCGGACCAATGGGAGCGTCGCACGTGATAACTGACAAACCAACGACACCTCCAGGTTTTCGAAAGAACGAGCGTTCTAAACGACCATCGTGATGCCCCCCCCCCCCCCCCTCCCCTCCTCTCAGCACCCTTTTCTCCAGTTTGACACCTATCGTTCGGGTAGCCCTATTGACACGCTGCGGTGCACGTCCGAAAGAGAAGTTCTCAACGGTTCAAAACGCAGCCGCAGCGTGCAAATCGTGTGGCGCTTCAATTGATAGGTGTCGAAAGGGGGGGGGGGGGGGGGGGGGGGATATGGGTATCTGCAAGTGAAAGTAGAGTCTATGGTTAGTTCTTCAACCGAGTTAATCGACAGGATGAGTTAAAGAGATCGATGGTTGTTTGAAGGGCACCGCATAAATCGGGTATTGAACGAATTGAGCTAAGATTTTACACAAAAGAGGCTGAAGAACGTGCATGAAAGATAAATATTTCAGTGAACCAACTTACCTGAGTAAGACGTTAGAAATTAAGAACCTGAAATATCTACCTATTGCGGACGTCTGATAATTAAAGGCGCCTGATTAGTGCACCAGCCGGCAGATGGCGACCTTTAAGACCGCAGGATGGGCGCTTCCGACGACTCCGGCAATAGTAGACAACGTGTCTGAGCCAGAAACGATGCACTTTTTTTTCCTAGAATTTCGAGCATATGATTATATGATTCTACCAATAAAACACAAAAGAAATAGTATAGTATATATATATATATATATGTGTATATAGAAATAGTATAGTATATATATATATATATATATGTATATAATTATTTTTGGCTGCATGCCGTCCTCAGGTGCTTTGTCCTCGCTGGTCTCACTTTTCATTTCAAAGTTTTCA